GTTTAGATGAAAGCGATTCGCTCATCCCGTCATCTCGTTCACGTTGTGAAATGGCGTCTTTGAATTATAATGATGTCTTTGGGATGGCATTACATGTAAATACAGACGAATACGAATTGTGTTATTTAATAAAGGAAAACTTTTAAAACTACTAAATATTCAAACTTTAACAGATAAGGTTCACTGAGCGATGTAGCTTCTTTTTCAGAGGCAAGTTGGGCACAAATGATAGCTCAACGAAGTGGCTTATCACCCTGTGGAAAATTATAGCAGCCAAATATTGTAAACGCGTGTTCCTTAATGGGGGACCCGGAGAAAAATCCATTCGGCCGCGGGGATAACATGCAAACTCCAAATATACAGGTGTCAAGGTCGGTACTGAACCCACGACCTCCTGCGTACCAGGCGATGGAGTTAACATCTCGCTACCGGCGGTGCCCTAAATGTATTCACAACAGTCACTGTGTTAGCAAAACGTAATCATTCTGGGTGTACTTCTCTCTCTAAGATCCCGCTGCATGAATGCCAGTCGACCACTCTTCTTTCGTTGTCTTCCCTCGCGCTGTTCAACCTTTAAATCCCCCTCCCGCCGTCTCTTGCAACAAACTCTTATAATGTCTGTGAGTTTGTTGAACTTCTTTCGTACCGTACTTAGCCAGCCGTGCTAATCGGAGGTGCGGTGGAAGGACAACACAGAAACAAACTAAACACAAAAAGCAGTGTCTACAGAAATGAGTTTTCAATCTGGATTTCAAAGTCCATAGCTCCAGTGGCTTCCTAATGTCGGAAGGAAGAGAGTGTTCCAGACGGCCGCAGAAGCGCATCTGAAAGTGCGCGATGCGGTGACCACCGTCTTTGTTCAGCCAAAAGCCGCTGCTGCGAGGATGAGTGGAGTTCGTGTGATGATGCTTAATGGTCCTTGACACGATCAGTGAGGTGTTGTGGTTAATTTGTGACAAGCACTTTGTGTTGCGTGTGTTTCATGAACAGCTCAATTAATCGTTGGTTCTTTCGGTAAAGTCAGGTATGAAGAAAATCAATTAAATAATAGAATACGACGTTTCGATTGCAACACAAGCAGTCGTCATCAGGTAGAACTACATTTGACAGAGACACAAAATACAGACACGGAGACACACAGACAGACACACAAGCAGAGAGAGAGAGACAACACAGAGACACAGAGAGAGAGAGACAGACACAACATAGACGCACAGAGACCCAATGCCTCTGTGTCGTGTCCTTAAATTAATGTGCTTCACACTCTCATCTCGTACAACTTTGATAATGGTGACGTTTGTTGCCGGCCGCTTAAGTATCCTGGGCCTTTGGGCCATGCAATCTAAAAAAAAAAATATGAAAACCTGGCGTAAACACACAACTCACAAAAAAGCAAAGCGCGTGCGTACGCTACGCTAAGCGTCGCGCTCCCCGCCCGCCATAACGCTCCTCCGCAGCTTGGCTGCTCAAGCGAAGACCAAAAGCAATGATGACAATAACAACGACAATAAATAAATAAACACGCTCCGCGACAGCATCGATGTGCGGTCGCAGTCCCCTGAAGACGCAGCAAATTAGGCATCGTCGCAGGTGGCTAACAACCAACTGCCACATCCCACGCAGAGCGAGCTGCGCTTGAGCCACCCCGCTGTGACCGCGAGTTGATTGAGGTCGGCCAGCGGCATCCTCGCAAACTGCCTCGTCTGTGAAAAAAAAAGAAACAGCTTGCTCGCCACGAAGTCCTGTTACTGCTTAACCATTGATGCTCACGTTCGGGCTTCTGGGGTCACGCTTAGGTCTCCGCAGTCCATTGCGTTGGTTTGTACGGGTCGCAAATCATCGTCACCATCATCATCATCAGCAGCAGCAGCAGCCATGATCTATCCACTGTTGGATGAATGCTTCCACACGTCGCCATCTCTCGCGATGCATCAAATCCGTCGAGCTCCTGCGCGCGAGCTGATAGTGTCGCTCCGTCTCCTGTGTAGGATGTCCCCTCGGGCAAGTGGCTAATTGGACATATGTCGGTTGTTAATTGTCCATTGCCTGGGTCAAATTGATCGTGGGCGGTCACGTTGTTCACGCTTTGATGGCATTTGCCACGAGGGCGTCTCGTTGTTTGTGCGTGAGTCTATAATTGATAACGAGTCCTGTTACTGCTTAACCATTGATGGCGACGTGTGGAAGCATAACGGGTTTGTTCGGAACATATTGTTGGTCTCAAGCGTCAGTACGTAGACCTGACTGACCTGCGTGAGTCTCACAGCATATACTTGAGTCTCCCGGTTCATGCGCGGGATGGAATGGGTTACTGCGAGACGATCGTGGGTCATGTGCGAGTCGAGAAAGGGCCCCGCGTGGGCCCCAGCGATTTTCGCACGTCCCTCGGTACGTCGTGCGCTGATGACGGTGTCTTACGCTCGGCTGGTGGCGGCGGTGGTTCAGCCGTGGGTCGCAGCAGCTGCTGGATTTCGCTCGGTGCGGGCGGTTTCCTTGCCGAGCCGGGAAGTGGAGAGAGGGCAGCGAGCATTGTCGGTGCGAGAAGGAAGCGGGTTTTTTTTTTTTTGGGGGGGGTGGGGGGAAAGGCCTGCTAAATAAATAAACAAAAATCCGTCAAAAACATAAATGCCGAGCTTGCGCCGCCGAAGGTCTTCGTGTAAACAAGCGGGGCCACAGACGCCGTTCTGGAAATTCTGTCGGAAAGTTGAATGCGCCGCAAAGCGTCACAAATTTTCCAAACGGAGCCTTTTCGGTTTCGCTGTGTTGGATGTACCGGCGGGAAAGGGGGGGTTGGGGTTAGTAGGAGGAGGAGGAGGAGGAGAGGGGTCGCGCAGATATTTCTAAGCTGATAATTAGATGATATTTGCGGCCTGGATTGCACGTCATTTTGTTGTACGAACGAATTCGATTGTTTCCCTCCCAAGGTGAACGCAACCGTAATTTGTGTTAAATGCCTTGAAAGTTGCATCTCCTCCACGCTTCGCTGCCTTTCAAATAAATCGGCAACGATACGACCGGGAGAAATACAGACACGACCGCGGTGTTTGCTGCTCGCGCGCACCGCTGAGGGCATCGCTCATTCCTCCACAGTTGTAAAACCCACGCCGTCCGTCCGTCCGAAGCGCCGAGCCTTTTGGGTGCGTGCACGCTAAATCCAGACGGCGGTTTAGCGGACGTCTTTATTTCCTCTCTTTCTCCTTTTTTAAAGCTCGACCCCTTGATTGATTTCCCAGCGTCCCAGTTCTCCCCGACAAGTGGCGTCGAAGGGAAGAGCGGACTCTGTAGCGCGCGCGCCGTGGGCTGGCGACGAAGCGCCTCGCCACGGTGAAGTCCACTCGGTGTCTTGACGTTTGTGTCTTGACACCGAGTGGAGTAAAACCCTCTAACGGCCGCATCCGAATTATGCGGAATCTGGGGCAAGCTGTGGAAGGCTTCCTGAAAGGGAGAGGGGACAATGGGATGAATAAGTAAATATAAATTCGGACGGTGACACTCTTCGCACGCTAATTTAGCTTGTTATGGGAGGCGATGGCAGGCGAATTCTAAGCTGTATACGCGCACTTTGATCATATTTTTACTGGATTTCGGGAATTCTTTTTTCTTGAGTAGCAGGTGCTCTGTAAGTGCCGTCCCTCATTTTTTTCTTTTTTTTCTGTCTGTTTTGCAAATAAGCAAAACAAACGCTTCAAGCCCGTCAGATGATATTTTCATCTCTCCACAATCTGCTCTCTCTGTTTCATGATGTTGACTCTGTTTAAACTCTACTGAAGTGAGCTGCGTTGTTATTGTTACTACATTGTGAATGTCAGATATTAAATACTTCGCTTCATTGTTGATAAGCATTAATTACATGCCTTAGTTGTTGTACGCATTAATGAAATTGAAGTTTTGTGTTTGCTCAGTTATTTAATTATGTCCAAGACTTCCCAAATAACCAGAAAGGCCTTCCCACCAATCCGTCCGTCTGTGAGAGGTTCATTACAATAGGACTCACTCGTGCATTGCTTTGCAAGGATGTTATAGCTGCCTTGGCCTGTGGCATGTCTCTTTTCATACACCCGTGTCAGTGTGGCTGTGATGTTGTTGGGGAGCGGTGGTGTAGCTGCTAGTGCTGTGCGCTACGAACCTGGCGACCCGAGTTTGATTACCGCTCAGGGCCAACACCAGTGACGATTATCTGAACCGGTCCTGGGCCTCCCCAAGGTCGACTCAGCCTCAAATGAGTACCTGGTGCGGTGTGCAAACATCGCCACTAGGGAGACAAAAATGGCCGGGGGTGGTGCTGGCCACCCACCCCCTCGTGTGCCGTGCCAACCTTCATAGGTGCTCGCTAACTGCACTTACCCCAATAGTATGTCAAGGCTATACGGGGGATCTTTGTTTTTAATGTTGTTTAAGCTTGAATGCACAACATTTCGAATCAAAGGAAAACTTCAGCTTATTAAATTGTCACGATTCGCACTGCAAAGGCATTCACCGTTGTGCTGTGCGGCTCTCAGCGGTGTGATTTTGGGTTGGACCGAGCGCGTTGTTCCACGCGGTGTCTTGAGAATTCAGGAGAATTCAGCGCTCAATTGGACTCACGTCAGGAACTGAATTTCGTGCCCAAAACTGAATTGGTTTATTGAAGAAGTTCTCAGCAAGCACGTGGTGCGAAGCGTTGGACATCATGCCAAACAGCACGTGGTAGAACCCAAAAATACATGGGAGACATATATCCCTGTATTGTCAAAATAGTGATTTAAAAAAAAATGCTTTCATGTATTGTTACGTAACATCTTGTGATGAAATTAACGTGTTGCTTTCTGATAATAGTTATAATATTCATATAGCGTCTTGCATCGAGGCTCTCAAAGCGCTGTACAGGACTCAGCAGCAAAGCACTCGGCTTAAAAATAACTCGTGAAAGGAAAATAATAGTCGACGTTGAATGTCTTTTCTCAAGTTCTGATTGAATGCGTGTGCGTGCGTGCGTGTGTTCTTGTGTTATGCCCCTACAGCATGCATCGAGCAGATACAGCACTCAGCAGAACCCCGTCCTGGTACGTAATTTTCTTGTTGTGTGTTTGTTCACAGCTGCATGGGGATTGCGCATCTGTGCGTGTGAGTGCAAGTGGCTGAATATGTTTTTCACGCCTGTGCACGGCGAGCGTTCACCTGCATCTGTGAAGCCTCCCTGCGATCGTCCCTGCATCTCTGCAGCATCCACTGGCAGATCATGAGATTCATGGGGGCAAGTAGCCACGTTGTTTGTGCGCGTGATGCAGATGGGGGGCGGTAGTTATAGCGGCTAGCGCGTTGTGCCACGAACCCAGCGTTCAATTCCCACTCATGGCCGACACCAGTGACGATCATCTGAACCAGTCCTGGGCCTCCGCTGGGCCGATTTGGCCTCAAACGAGTACCTGGTGCGGTGAGTAAACATCGGCGCTCAGGAGAAAAAAGCATCCAAGCGAAACGCTGGCTTCACACTCCCGTTTGTGCTGTGCCAGCCTTGATAAATGCTCGCAAACGGCAATTTCCCCAACAGCCTGAGGAGGATGTATGGAAGATCTCATCTGACTGCACCTCTATCTCGTGTCCTAAAAATCCTCTCACTGCATCGCTGCCTCTCATCTGTATCTCTTTTGCAGGGCACTGAAACTCATTTCTGCTCAAAGCACCCCTCCTTTCCGACGCCCCAGCGGGCCAGCGTGCGTGTTCGCGTGTGCGTGCGTCTCTTAGCAAATGCTCGCACGTGTGTACGCGCTTGCGTGCCGATACGCTTCCTGCTACTGTCCATGCCGCTGGTTTGTACGCGCGTAACGACGCCGCGCGTCTGCGCGCCACTCCGCACAGCCAGCGTGGGTTTTTGTAATCCCCATCCTAGGCTGCGCAAATTCAAAATTGGTGAGCCGAGGAGGAGGCCAGTTTTGATTTGGCCGCCTCCGGCACGGTACATTTACCCGTTCACAGAGTGCAGCCGAGAAGGGGTATTATTTGCGTGGTAGTATGTGGTGGGTCGTTGGCACCTGTGCGTGCTTGACATGTGGGAAGAGGGGTGATAAATAATATTGGGTACTACGCTCATACAAAATGAGGCAGGCTACCATTGGCGCCACGGTGGGGAGATGTTAACTGCCTCGCTTGGCATGCAGGAGGTCGTGGGTTCGATATCGACCCTGAACGCCTGCTGCTGTATATTTGGAGTTTGCGGTGTCTCTCTCCCCGTAGGTCGCGTGGATTTTTCTCCGGGTCCTCCGGTTTTTCCCTCCACACTTAGAATCAACGTGACTTTGGAGCATTTGATTGCTGTACATTTCCACGTGATGAGCCAATTCGTTGAGCTATCATTTGTGGCCAGGTTGCTTCTGAAAAATAGTTATATAGCTTAGTGGGCCTTACCTGATAAAAATAACAATAGTCGTAATAGTAGTGATTGCCAGCCCGATTCCATTTCCCGGCGCGGAAGTTGAAATCATGTTTCAACTTTCTACACTCCTCTCCACCTCCCATCTCTGTCCACCCAGCAACTTACAGTAAATAGATTCACCACCGTTAGACGATGAGCAGGTCATGTGCAGTCAGGTAAAGTGTGAGTACACCCACCTCTTCGAAGATGTATGTATGTTTAACTTTTTTCGCACCGTACGTAGCCAACCGTGCCAAACGGAGGCGCGCGGGAAGGGCAACAAACTAAGCACAAAAATCAGCCGTGAAGAAATGTGATTTCAATCTAGATTTAAAAGTGATTAGCTCCAGTAGAGAAGAGAGTGTTCCTGACGGCCGCAGCAGCGCATCTGAAAGCGCGCGAAGCGGTGACCCGTCTTTGTTCGATGGCCAGACAAAAAGCCGCCGCGAGGATGGCCAGAATTGTTTGGCCAGCATGGAAGAGTAGGCCAAAACACCCCCCGAGGCGGAGCTCTCTTGAGCTCCCCCCCCCCCCCCCCCCCCATTTGGAGGCCCTCCTGCAAGTAGTAGGCGTGAGCACGCGACTGCAGGGCTGAGCATTTACATTTTCGCTTTGTATGAAGGTCGGTGGCGCGTTTGCGAGAGGGCCACTCCGGATGTTGTTTAAGGCGCCGCGCGCTCTCACCCGGCACCCTCTGCTCACCGCGCTCACCCGAAGGAAGCCGCCACCGCACAGGGGGAGGAGACTTTAAATAACGAAAGCGGCAAATTACACCACGCAGTAATCACTTCACATCGGCAAACACTAACAGCGGCAGATGAATGGCTTTATCCGGACATTATTGCTGCAGTCATCGCAGGAGGCTGAACAAACGTGGTACACGTCTTTTTTTTTAGGTTAAAAGATTAATGATGGCATTGTTGTCGCCTTTTGTGGGTGTGTTGGTCAATACGCATGCTAATGTGTTCCTTGTTAAAAAAAAAATTATCCTACGTTTCCACTTTGCTTTTTACATCCTTATGAACGTTGCCTGTTCAGTCGGCTCAGTTTCAGTTTATTTTGAAGTAGCCCCGTGAGCCAAGATGCTCTTAAATCGGGTTTCATCAACAAAAAAGCAACACCGCCGCTTACTCCGACATACACAGCAAAGTCACGGTTAAAATCAATCAAGTAATATACAAAAACAGATCAGCGAAATAAAAAAAATGGACAGCAAATCATAATGACGATGTGAAAATATATTTTGTTTTTAAAATAAATATTAAGTAAAATATAGATTTTTAGCAAATAGCACGCTTTATCTCAAAAAAAAAATGTATCTGCCATATTAACTGTAATGCTGATACAGCCTAAAACACGATGGCATTATAGTGCGTAATAAAAAAACACCACAGCATCCATAAACAAAAAACTTAGTGTAAACAATGTGCCCACATCTCCGCAGTGGGAAAAAATGACGGCAAAGTAGGAAGCTCCGAAATTTTTTGTAATTATTTTGGCGTCCTTTAAAAATTCGCTTCGTTTTCCTTATCAAATGAAACAATGTCAAGGTTTGTGTGTGTGTGTGTTTAACACGTAGGCTTTCATGACCAATATTATCCATAATAGAGGTTTTTTGGGTGATAATCGATATGCATTGTAATTGATATGCATACATTAACCCCCCCTCTCTTCTCTTCACACCTCATCGACTCACAAGTGACGACATCACATCTATCCCTCTATTTAAGACCGAAACAGAAGGATCTCTCCACAAATCTGGCTGTCACCTGATATCACGGGCGAAACGTCGTACTCAAATTGTAAACGCTGTGGGTTTACTCTCCAACACATCGGTGTGCTGAACTAGCACGTTCTGTTCACGTGACAAACCTCACTAATTGGCTGTGTCAGTGGCGACGGGTTTAACGACATATCTATATTTATGCGATCTAACCCAAAAAACCTTTACTATGTGTGCCTGTTTGAGTGGTGTTTGACATTGAATTAGTCACCGTGTCAAATTCCCCGATTCGCACTGCGTTTACACTTCTTCTGCTTTATTCTTTCCAATACCACGGGGGAGATTATTTACATTTCCCACCAGATCCACTGTAACATAATTAATTTCTTTGTTTTTTTGTTGTTGTAACTCTGCGCTAACAAGGGCAGGGTGGGGATGAGGTGTGAATCAGTGATTTCACAAACATCGAATGACCGAGGCTCCTTCGGAGTCTGCTTTCATTTCAAACGCCTGCTGCAATGACTGACCGAAACGTTTAATTCCAAGAAACCCCACCTCATTCCCTCTGCATGACCCAAGGGCACACAAATGTGTATGTTGTGCATTAACATTCCATATCGTCCATGAAGCACCAATAATTGTATTCGTTCGCGTCAGGGATTTTACACCGCTGTGCCGTGTGTGGGGTGAATTTTTAACTTGGCGCGTCTTGTGATTTAAACATTTTTTTTGCTGTGTTCCTTTGCTCTGGGGAGGGAAAAACTGTTTGAAATTGGAAGATTTTTTGCACCGTTCGTTCGTTTCTCCATCCGCTTGTCCTGGCGAGGGTCATGGCAGCAGCGTGTTGAGTAGTGGCGGTCCACACACCTCCCTTTCAACATGCTGATTTTTGCATCAATGATATATATGTTATTTATCTTTTTCCGAGAAATCCTCAGTCTCAAGATGCTTTTCCAGGAAGGAGCCGCATTAGGATTGTTGCCCAATTCCGTTAACGAGTGTTTGGCACGTCAGAGACAATTGGAGGGTGTCCAGAGAATCCTGCAAGTGGGTCACCATCTGAAAACGCCACAAAAAGAACACAGGGACTCCTCTACTTACGAACGAGTTAGGTTCCAGAGGTCTGTTCGTAAGTCGATTTGTTTGTAAGTCCAACTTTACATCTGTCGATTCCAAACACGTTGTACGGCATGTACACTAAACACGGGGAATGGCTTTAAAATGTATTTAATCTCCTGTAGATGTAGATGCCACTGGTTCTTCACGTTCTGCAGATGTAGATGCCACCACTGCCATCTATTGAGCGGCGGTTGAACTTACGACAATCTGGTTCCGAACAGGCAACTGGACATAGGGACAGGATTGTTTGTATCTTTGAAAGTTCGTAAGTCGGATGTTCTTATGTAGAGGAGTCCCGGCACAAGAATCTGTCGCAGCACCTGCCATCCGCTGGTCACCTCGCGTACATTCACGGCAGTGAAACTCAAATGATTACTTCGCAAAGCTGGAATGTTAAATGAAGCGTAAGAACTAGATTGAGTACGTCTTGTTTCGTGCTATCATTGGTGAGAAGGGCTCAGACCGTCAGCTCTGTACATTTAAGAAGCCGGTTTATTCACGGATTGCTGCATGCATTCGAAACCAGGACCTTGGCCGTTCTGACTCGACACTCTGACCTCTGAGCCCGCCCTGCCACCTTTAAGAATCCGTCGTTAAATTTCGATTCAAAGCTTTCGTGACTGCAGGGATTCATCTTCTTGGTTCTTTCGGTAAAGTCACTTAGAGGGGAAATAATTATTGCGTTTTATTTTTATTATTTTATTATTTCCCTTCTACGTGACTTTACCGAAAGGACCAAGAAGATGAATCCGTTAAATTTAGCAAAGGCCCCCTCGGATCTTGACGGTTCATTGACCCGCAAGAGGGGTAAAATGTGCTAGCCCCCAAGTAAGGCACGTGTGGGGGGTTGTCTTCAAAAGTTCCAGACAAAATTGTAATACATAACAAATTCATCAAAAGAACAAATCTAAACAAAAACTGCAAAGTCAGGAATCCCAATGGCATCCTCGAGCATATAGTGCGGTTGACTCTGTGATCAAAGTGAATAGGTATCGCTTAGCTTTCATGATCAAACATCAAAGCAGTAGGATGTGTGTTTGTGCAGGTTCCCTGTAGGTGTATTGTACACATTTGTCCTCGATCTCCCCTGGGCACCCCTGCCTGGCATTATTAATATAATGAGCATAATCAAATAGACACCGCTTAGATTTTAATTTAAGTTTTGATTTGCCACTTGCTGTATGGGAGAATGAAATGGACCACAGAGTTGAAGTGCTGGTACCCTGGAGAGGGAGCATGTCTAACCAGAATTCACTTCGGCCTTTCCTTTTTTTCTATTTCTGTGCTGGAGTCCTGTGTGCTGTGAGTTCTGTGACCGACCTCTGAACCGGTGTCCTCAACGCATTTGGCCAAATTCAATTAAATTACACCTACCAATCGCCTCCTCCGAGACGTCTGGCCGGTGTGGAAGAGTGGGCCAAAAAATGGGATTCTGGAGAGGCTCTCTGTAGCTCCCTCTCGTGGGAAGGCCCTTCCGTCAACACTGGCCGCAGCCAAGCAATTTCAGAGGCTCCGCGGTGCAACCAATTGCACTCAGGCGGTGGGGCGGGGGGGTGGGAACTCGATTTTGTCTCGCGTTGCATCATATAATATAAGGGCAATAATAACAAATGTATCACCATCGACAACGCTCAGGAGCAGGTGGGAGGCAAGACCAAAATTCATCAACTGCTGCCAGAATAAATAAATAAAAAACCCCATCGTGTTTCCTGACCCGACGTTTCTGCCGAAATGTATCACCTGATGTCCACTGCTCACATCTGGCATCGGTTAATGAAATAAATTACGTCCTCCCACCCCTCCCCCCCGCCCTCTTTAATGGACAAAGCGTTGTTGCACCTGAGGGTCCAGAACTCACACATTGCGCTGCAGGTGCTCTTTGCGTGCATGCGTGCGTACTTGCGTGCGTGCGTGCGCTGTTGTCTGCTGAGTGTCTCTGGGGCATCTCCTCCCCCCTCCTCTCCAGTGCCTGCTCTGCTCACGGCGCTGCTGTCTCCAACCCCCACAGAGCGAGGGCCGCTCGCGCTCCGAGCAGCTCGCTCGGCCCCCCCTCCCGCACCACCTGCACCTGAGCCTCAAGAGCTTTGGCTACAACATCTACGGCGAGGATGTAGACCTCTACTTCTCGCTCTACGACGGCCGGGAGGGGCGGCCCGTCAGGTACACGCGTGGCGGCGCAATTATCTCGACCGAGTAAATTTTTTTTTTTGGTTTTGTCGTGTGACCCTTCACTGACCCGACGCAGCCGAAGAAATGAAATCGTCACCTCGGTTTTTTTTTTTAGCTGCCCATTTGCTTGCATCATGCTTTGGTCGCTGCGCAAGGATCCATGGATTCATCGAGGAAAACCGATTCTTACGGCTCACGATGCTTGACTTGGCTCGCGTGCAAAACTCTGCATTGCGCGATGGCCACGTGGGGCTTTTCTTTTTAAATGGCACAGAAAAAAACCTACGACCCCAATTAGACCCCGGTACGACTTTCGGGTTGCACCGTGTCATGTTCGACTCAATGTTTGACGTTTCGCTCCACACGCCGGCAGCTTCTTAAGGCCTTGAATGGGTGTGGAAGAAGCCTCTGTTCGTAACCCCCTGTGGAGTGAATGTTTTTTTTACTGAGTGGTAGCGACTCAACGGAGGAGTCGAGAGAAGTTGCAGCAAAATCCCCACATGCGTGCCCCTTTAAGTTTGTCACTGATCGTGCGAACGTTCCACCAGGAAATGGCAGTTTGTTGCCCTCAAATCATATGGAAAATGGGATTTGGATACGTGCATTAAATTGTTTTTGTTTGAACTTGGAGCTTGAGCAAGTTTAACGTTCGGCATCGTTGTTCTGGGAATTTAGTTTAATTCTTTTGCCAGATAACTTAGATTCTTATTTAAGTACTTCATTTGTGAGGGATTAGTGATTCATGTTTCAAGTTGTATTTGCTTCACCTGATAACAAAACTCAAGAGACTGAGATAGGATTCGTTGCGATAATAACGATCAGTAACCACAGTTGTGGTTATATGACTCACTCACACCACCCCACCCCACGCACTGCAGGCGTTCAGAATTCATGACTGCAAATCTACGTTTCATTTTTACCATCTCGTTAGTATTCTTTATTCGTTGTATAGCCCCCCCGCCCGCCCGCCCGCCCCCCCCGCCCCCCCCCCCCCGCCCCCCCATCTAATTTGTACAGTTGCGTTCACTTGCGTTGCTTAAATGTAGGGTGAGCATTTCATTTTGAATGTCATCGACACTTACTCATCCGATTAATGGTGTGTGTCATCGGCTTTTGGCAGTGCAACTACCAAGCTTTGGAACCCTTCGCCTTTGCCAATGAGACATTTAAGTCCGTCTTGAAAACTCACTTCTTTGAACAGACTATTAACCCCAAGTTCTGGCCATTTACCCTGCAGATTTTGGTAACTCCCTGATGTCCATACACGCTGGCGCATTGGCAACTATGGGTGAAACGCACCTTGCAAATGTTAATTATTATGCCAATGATCAATATCGTTCTTTGAAAAAGCTGGCATCGAGACTTGCTGTCCGTAGAGTGTCCTCCAAGCTATAGCACTGCACTCTGGGACATTGTGTTATGTCGTGGGTGCAATGTATACTTAGGTATCATTTACTTGTATTCATAAGTTCACTCCATTTCTGTGCATTATTATTACATCATGAAATGTCTCATCAGATTAAACCGATCACTTTAGTTTCTCCCAGGCTTTTTAATTAGTGATCCCATTCAATTAACAGAAGCTGTTACATAAACCTTTTGTAGAATGGAATGCACTTTGTTACCTTATTTGACTGCTTTATATACATATTGAAACAAACAAATCAGAGCAAAGTGCTTCAAACGTTATTCCCAACTGATGGTGTTGTTGTTGTTGTTGTTCCATGTGGGCAAATGCATAATGAAATATCGATTTTGTTTACATTTTCCTAATTTCCTCTCCAGGAGTGAGGCAACCGATCTCAGCGTGCACGGTTGAGTGCCCACGCTTTACGATCGTAAAGGTGCAGCCTTGACATTTCTCGCTCATGCCAATGGCAGCGAGAAGAAGAGCCTCCATTCAGCGCTTGAGACAGCCCCCATTCTGGGGGGGGGGTATTTTTGGCCTACTCTTCAACGCTCACCATCCGTCGTGGGAGACGTGCCGAATGCCCGACGCTTTGCCCACACGGCACGTGACCCCCCCGCCGATCGACCCCCCCCCCCCCCCTGGGGGTGAGGCTGTTGGTGGACAGAGGCGGGGAGGTTTTTTTTTAAACTTTAATTGTTTTTTAGTACAGCTCAACGCGAGCCCCGGTACAAAGCACCGATCACGGTACTTGACGGTCGGGTGGGGAACAGAAACTCCGCGAGCAACATCCCGAGTTCGGCGCCCCAGGGCCCAGCGAAGAGGAGACAATTCGAGGCTCTCTGCCCCACCCGAGCGAAAACGTTCAAAGTGGATTTGGGGCAGGGCGAGGGGAGAGATAGCTAACAATCATTACACACAGAGAGAGCTTGCTTGCCACAAATGAACCACGATACCGTGACAATCTCGTCGACGAACTTTAACCAAACCCCGGGCATCCTCGTGGCAGCAGCGGCTCTACGGCTGGGCCATCGAACAAAGATGGCCGCCGCATCGCGCGGCGCTTTCAGACGCGCTTCTGTGGCCGTCTGGAGCTATGCACTTTTAAATCATGTACATTGAATAATCATTTCTTTTTACAACTGCGTTTTGTACTCTTTGGTTCTTTCGGTAAAGTCACGTAGTTATAACTATGGATTCCTGCAGTCACGAAAGCTTCAAATAAAGACTGCGTTTTGTGTTTAGTTTGTTGTCCTTCCCCCGCACCTCCGATTAGCACGGTTGGCTATGTAGAGTGTGAAAGATGTTCAACATACGTACGTAACTTAACATAAATGGGTAAAGGGGGACAGGGAAGGGGTGGGGAGGCAGGGGAGCGGAAAGGAGTTGGGGGGGGAGATTTAAGACATATACCTTATTGTTGCAAATTCCACGTGGGGAGATCGAACTGACGACATCTAGATTCTGTGCTGACCATCATTAGTATCTCTAGCCAGATTATATCCATTTGTTATTAAAGTTCCAACTTTTGATTGTTGGTAGAAATGGTGGTTGTTGGGTTGTTTTTCTTCCTCCGAGTAGCATCGTTTGTTAGGTCCAGCAGACTGCATTAAAGCCCATTGGAGTTTTTTTTTGACAACTGAATGCAATGAATTATGAATTGAGTAAACTATTTGACTTAATGTGAAGGAAAGCCTATTTGACAGTGGAACTGAGTGCATCACGGTATCGCAATAAAGTCAGCTGTAGGCAAAATTTAAATCCGTCGTTCAAGACCGTAGTCCATGAACTGAATAGAGCACATATACAATAATTACCATTATTTCATCGATATCAACAATGACGCTATTCACTACAATTGTCCAATTTTGAGAAAAAAAATTACGGTAAGCGTTTCAATTGGCCATAGATAATGTAGAAGTATTTATGTTGGGTCTCTCGGTCAAGTTACATAATTGAAAAATAATAGAGCACGATGTTTTGATCACAACACGAGCAATCGTCTTCAGGTGAGAGAGAGAGAGAGAAAGCTGCTGAGACAGGGTCTTGTATAGGCCTGAGATGGGTGCATCAAGGTAGGAGGGTGGAGCGAGAGATGGTCCAACAAATGGAGGCTGGAGCAGTGGACACCCAGCCTGTCAATACAAAGACATCCAACCTAGTAATGAAACTCAGAGAGCCAGTTAACATCGGTAGAAAGGATGGAAACAGCATAGCAAGTTAAGACTTTACCTGGTTAATCACGTTCTTCCAATGATTGCTCAATTTGTACCCATCTTCTCGGTTGAAGTTGTGTCTACGTTTATATATTTGGATGGCTTCATGAACAAATCTTTGCAGTGGGTTTGCAGATTACCTTCGTCTTGGAAAAATCAATATCGTATGAGCCCACAGGGTTAAAACAATTATCAGCCACGGCCGAGGTATTGGTCCTGCCGTGTTTCATATCCGCCTTGTTTTTCACGAACACGGTCCGAGACACCGGTGTCTACAAACTAAGCTGTGTCTGCGGCAGTAGTTACATCGGGGAAACTAAACGACATGAAAAGCACTTGCATTATAGAAAAGTACACAAACTGTCTGAGTGACGGGTCCACTGCCGTATACACCTAGGTCAGCGAAAATGCATACTTGACATTCATGAACATCCATCGTGGATGCGTTTATTCCCTCCTGCTTTGTTTACTGCAAGCACATCGCTTGCCTCTCACTTCGTGTCGGAGGTTTACGTTAGTGGTGAGCAAAGTCATTAATTTATCCTTACAGAATGGTAAAATGCGCACAGTTACGTAAACAACCATTTAAAAATGTATTCAAATCCGCTTTTGGACAGAGCACATGCATTTACCAATATGAAATGTAAGAATGCAAATAATTTCAGTAGCCTATGCATAATAGATGCAAGGCACTGGATGTGTTATTTAAATTCCTGTGTTTTAATTCACATACTTTTAAAGGTTTTGACTCGTGACTTGTGAAACTTAATTTTCCATACATGCTATTCCCTGTGCCTAGCATGTTTTTCGTTAAAATTATGTATTTATTCCACCCCCCCCCTCCCCTCTTATTAAATTCTGTCGAGAAACTTTAAAAACGAAATGAGGTGCCAACAGCTGCCATGCGTTTCGGCGGAACGATGTCGAGTTATCTAACTCTCACGACGGCTTCCTATGAATACCCTATTTATTTGAAATCCATCTCTCTCGCCGAATGCCATTTTTACTTTTGAAGGAAGCTTATTGATTATGTTCTTGAACAGACACTCTTGCGAGTCCGGAGCTGCCTGATAAGCACGTAACAAAAAGCAACTGAAGAGCACGCGAAAGAAGCATCGAGGGATACCCGCTTCGGAATGGCGGTGACAGACGGAGGGAGGAACACGTGGAGCATAGGACGCATGCAGATCGATCTCATAATCCAAATTATAAATAAAAAGTTAGCGGGCTTCAGTGGGACACGTCGCGAGATGGGACGATTTGACGATGGTCAAGGATAATAGCGGGGGGGGGGGGCAGGGGGGGGGCAGGGGGGGGGCAGGGGGGGGGGGCGGCAGGTGGGGGGAGCGTCTTCATTGCCTCCGCTAAATGTAACCGAGGTTCACCACGCGTCACAAAGTGGTGCTCTACTGTCCGCTCAGGATTTCCACAGTTGCATGCCACCGGCCTCTACTTGAGTTCGCGCGTAAATAGGAGGGCGGCCGCATCTGCCGAGGGTGGGGGGGTGGTGGCTTCTCTCAGTGTGGCATCTGGACCAAGAGCCAGTCCCATTGTACCGCGGACGTCACCGAGCCGCGCAGGTTTTGCAACGCGATTGATTTTCCCCAACGTCACGTCACCGATCTATTCGCCGTGATGAGCTTCGCCGTTAATTTGATGGCGTCCGTCACCGGTGCGCTCTGCAGAGTCGCCGGAGAGCTCTGTTTCCTGGAGCAAATGGCAAAAATAACCCGTTAATGATTGTTAATTAACTTCTGGATGCGGCGGTGTCGAGGAGAATTAGATTTAATAAACCGCCGTACGCACGGGCATTTGATTTCAGCCCAGTGACTACGTAAGATTGGATACATTGCACGTTGCGATCATTTACATTGTTTATCCATTTGAGATGTATTTTTTATACTCTTTGATTTTTTCGGCAAAGAACCAAGGTGGGCTCTGCCAGAACGATGTGCAAATAAATACATTACATTTTTAGGTGGAGGGACAGTTTCAGAATAATTGCAAACTGCAGTTAATGAAACTGAAACAAAGTATAATAATAATAAAAGTTCAAATTTGTAATGCGCATCCTAAGATCCCAATGCACAATGCATGGCAAGCAGGAAACAAAAACAGAACCAGGGGCAACCGACGCAACTTAAGAGGGAAGGCCACTTTAAAGAGATGGGTTTTCAAAGCAGACTTTAATATATCTACCGACTCTGATTTCCTGATTTCAAGTGGCAAGGCATTCGACAAAATCACAGTTAACGCTTCAATAATGGCTTCATTAAAAGTCTTCCAAAGATTCCTAAGCATTTCAGCGTTAGCTTTGTCTCGTGCATTTGGGGGGTTTTTTGGTGCCATATTGTTAAACTTTATTACATAAAGCAATCTCAAGGGACATCACAGCAGCGCACCTGCTAAATAATACACGCACAGAACGTGTGCAGCCTCTTGTAAAATCCACTGCTGGATGAGTCTCTCCCAAGCCATCTAGGGGTAATTGACGTCATACTTTACCGTACTCGTTTGTCTTTGCAGCCCACCTTGGATTTGGGATGTAGCTGGACTCTGCTGCAACTAGCCCAGGAGAGACGCGCTATAGCCTATAGCACATGTTACGCACGGCAGTCGCCCATCCGAGCACTTGTCCGGGCTCTTCGCCTGCTTAGCTTTTCCCCTCCCAGTTCTGTTCGGAGATCGAGTGCATTCCGAGTGATTTACTGGACATCTGTGAAAGAAAGAGCTTTGTATCTAATCGGATTTCTTCCGGTATAAAGAAATATTCTGATTGTGATTTGGTCACAGCCTTGGACACAAATCCAGGGCATAGACCAGCAGCAGTCGTGCGATCGCATTACGCAGGATGCCGCAGCTAATTGATGGCCAAAGTTTCTCTCACAGGATTATAATTTTAAATAGAAATACACTTTCAAGTGTTCCAGTGAAAATAATTATTTTCTCCCTGTCCCCTAATCCATCATGATGTGTTATTGCCGGAAGAGACTGGCCAAAACCCATTACTGATTGTAGATCTGCTGTTGTTGCACTGACCGGTTTGGGGGTTATGGTTGATTTAAACAATTTGGCTTCCATTAATTGATTCTAAAGCGTGAGTTTTTGTTCCCTTTGAACTTTTAACAGAACGGAACTTCAACAAGCTTAATAATTTCACATTTCGCATGGTTTTTTTGTTTGATAAAAAAATATACATATTGTTAGTTTTGTTACAAACAAGTGGGTTGGCATTGTGCATCGATTCTTCCCAAAATTATCGTTGATTCTTAAACTCATGACGCCCGCATCCAATCACGCTTGTAGTAACGTTTGTTTTTTTGTAATCATGCGTTGTGGTATATTTAATCGTGCGTTCTGGTATATTTAATCGTGCGTTGTGGTACATGTGATGGGTTTTTGTGTGTCCCACCTGAAGCCACACAGCAGTGCCACCATTTATTGCATTCTTAAAAAAAAACATTCTTGAATTTAAACATTAAATGACCGTGAATCGTGAGATGATATCAATCTAGCACGGTGAGTGGGGAGGAGGGAGAGATGTGGATTAACTCCATCACTGTAATTTATATAACAAAATAAGTAAAGAACCCTTCTCATATTTGTCTTTCCACATGAAACACAAATTGAGTGTCATTTTACACAACCCACGTAGGACTTCTGGCAGTGCATCTCATCACCAGCATTGGTTCAATGCAAGCAAACTCTCGACCCGGTTCAACATCCAGCGTCTCATCAGCAGTCTGGCTTTGCTCGAACCAATGCTGGTGAACTTGCCCGATGTTTATAGGTAAGCATGCTTTACGTTACAAATGGGTCCTCGTTCGATGCGAAAGTGTATCATACGAAACGCACATGATCATTCCGTAAAGATGCTGCATGATCATTGTCTACTCCTACATGAGCACTGGCTAACTGGCTGCCCCGCCCATGCTGTGTACGCCGCACAGCCTCTCCTCCCAGCTCTCGTCCCCATGCCCACTCACTTTAGAGCCCTTAGGAGCGGTTGCATTCGGAGGCTTGCCCCCTCTTTTCTCTCCGCCTGATGCAGACCGCTTGTGTTGCGATCGAACGTCGTGGGTTCTTTGCTTTTATCATTTTCAATTGATTTTAATTTTTTTTTATTTTCAATTTATTTTTTTTATTTTATATCTACGTGACTTTACCGAAATAACCAATAATATGATTATTGATATTATTATTCTTTACGGAGATCTTTTTGGAGGGTTGGTAAAAAAAAGAAAGTCATTGCTAAATTCTGTCCGTAGCTGTGCAAAAAGACCTCACTTTGGAATACACATCAACGTCACACGTCTGGCAAATGTGTAAAAGGACTTTGCTTGTAGCACCTACACTACGTCGGCTCGCCGCTGTTGATAGCTGGATGACAACGAGCTGACAGCACCCCGTTATTGGCGAACATCAGTTCATGCGTGCCTGTCGTATTGATTCGTTGTTTGCAAGCAACTGATGGGTTTTTGATCCTATGCAATCCTTGCGTCACTTAACAATAAAATTAATGAAAGATTGTAGCCTCTTAGTCATTGCGTCCCAATGAAAATTGATACTCCCAGCAATAAGAGTGCGTTATTTGCCACCAAACACAAGACACGAGTGGAGTGGTGGCACAGTGGTGAGTGTGCACTGTGCTATGTACCCAGAGATATGAATTTGATTCCTGCCCATGTTTAGCATCAGTGGTGGTGGTGGAGAGTGATATCTGAACCAGTCCTGGGCACCCCCACCTTTACAAATCCACGCTTTCCGGTGTGGTGAAGTATGGTCAAACAAACCTTTGAACCAACATCAGCAGTTAGCGCTCTGAGAACTGGACCTGGGCTCTCCTTTTCACAAACCTACGCTATGGTGCAGCATGAAAAGTTGTGTGACCATACTTCACCACACTGGTAAAAGTGGAGGCGCCCGAGAACAGTTAAGGTATCCCTCGCCGCTGATGTGAGCCCTGCCCAGGAATTGAACTCAGGTCACTGGGTTCATAGAGCATCGTGGTTACTATTATACCACCGCTCCATCCCACACAAGGTATACATTGGTAGAAAATGTATCGCGAGAGTAAGAATCGATTTTAACTGAGGATCAATGCATTGTTAAAACCAGAATGTCGGGATTGTGGCATGCTTTTGAGAATGTGCACCACGGTAGTGCACAGCGTTTACCTGTAGGTGTAGTTGTTCCGGATATTATTAGCCTTCCTCATTATCAAGCTATGAAGAATCATTACCAAATTACTGTCTACCTTTGGAGAGTGTGCGTGATCTGCTTCCTCATCAAGAGACCAGTCCCTCCCCGATACGGCGGTGTCATCTCTAGTGCATTGCAGTGAATGAAATAATCAATTCCATCAACACCTGTATCCGGGACCTCTTTTACTTGCGATTGATCTTTTTTTTCCCTTTCTCACCTCTCTCCTCCCATCCGCCCCCCTCCCTCCCATCTCGCACCGACCTCCTTCTCTCCGTCGAAACTTCGCCTCCACCCACCCACACATGGACGCGCGCACGCACGCACACGCAGTGAGAAATTCGTGGTGAGGCTCAACAAGCAAGGGATGCCCAAGAATAACGAGAGGCTGGATCGGCAGTGTGTTCTCTTCACTGTGAGTGGGCGCTCGAGGGCGGGGGGGCGAGCGGGCGGGCGGGCGAGGGGGCGGTCGGGCATAAGAGCGGACAGGCGATTGGGCCAGCGATTTTGCGTGCCCAGGGCCACCGAGAGATTCGTCGAGGCCAAGGGCAGAATACCGCCTCCATCCCCATCTCTTTAGACAAAAGATTGTTGTTTTTAAAATATGCATTTCTGACAATGCAGGTAGATAAATGAAATCGCAATTATAACATTTTCAACAATTAGAAGGCCTGGGTGTAGTTGCCCCTTTTGCCCTGGCTCCCTGTGCAGTCCTCTGTGCCATCTGCCAAGGACATTCAACATCAGAAACTGTCTTTGTTGGGCACATGTATTCATCATAACAACACAACGATCCCACTTACGCAGCCCTTCAATATACGTGCTGCATAATTATTGTGGGTTTTTTTTACCTAAAGCAATTAAATGTTATCCTGCCTGTGGTGATATAATTTTAAAAAGGTATTAACTTATTTAATTTGCTTACGTTTTTATCCTGGTTTTTAATTATTTTAAAACGATTTTAGATTTTCGTAATTTTCAACCGCGTGCATTTTTTATTGCAGATTTGTGTTGTCATTCATTAAGGGAACAATTTAACCTAGAAATGTTTTTTTACTCCGATTTAGACAAAAAAAACCCGAGCAATATTACACATATATTAGTAATGGAAGAAGCCGCATAGGTGAGCATTTTATCACTTGAAGAATGTAAGATTGAGTAATTGCCAGGTTACTCACCAATGTAGGATTGAGTAATTGCCAGATCACTCACCAATGTAGGATTGATTCATTGCCAGGTGACTCACCAATGTAGGATTGAGTCATTGCCAGGTCACTCACCAATGTAGGATTGAGTCATTGCCAGGTCACTCACCAATGTAGGATTGAGTCGTTGCCAGGTGACTCACCAATGTAGGATTGAGTCATTGCCAGGTCACTCACCAATGTAGGAATGAGTCATTGTCAGGTGACTCACCAATGTAGGATTGAGTCATTGCCAGGTGACTCACCAATGTAGGATTGAGTCATTGCCAGGTGACTCACCAATGTAGGATTGAGTGATTGCCAGGTCACTCACCAATGTAGGATTGAGTCATTGCCAGGTGACTCACCAATGTAGGATTGAGTCATTGCCAGGTGACTCACCAATGTAGGATTGTGTCATCGCCGGGTGACTCACCAATGTAGGATTGAGTGATTGCCAGGTCACTCACCAATGTAGGATTGAGTCATTGCCAGGTGACTCACCAATGTAGGATTGAGTCATTACCAGGTGACTCACCAATGTAGGATTGTGTCATCGCCAGGTTACTCACCAATGTAGGATTGAGTGATTGCTAGGTCACTCACCAATGTAGGATTGAGTAATTGCCAGGTGACTCACCAATGTAGGATTGAGTCATTGCCAGGTGACTCACAAATGTAGGATTGAGACATTGCCAGGTCACTCACCAATGTAGGATTGAGTCGTTGCCAGGTCATTCACCAATGTAGGATTGAGTCATTGCCAGGTGACTCACCAATGTAGGATTGAGTCATTGCCAGGTGACTCACAAATGTAGGATTGAGTAATTGCCAGGTGACTCACCAATGTAGGATTGAGTCATTGCCAGGTGACTCACCAATGTAGGATTGAGTCGTTGCCAGGTTACTCACCAATGTAGGATTGAGTCATTGCCAGGTGACTCACCAATGTAGGATTGAGTTATTGCCAGGTGACTCACCAATGTAGGATTGAGTCATTTCCAGGTGACTCACCAATGTAGGATTGAGTCATTGCCAGGTCACCCACCAATGTAGGATTGAGTCGTTGCCAGGTCACTCACCAATGTAGGATTGAGTCATTGCCAGGTTAATCACCAATATAGGATTGAGTCGTTGGCAGGTCCACTTGCCGAGCAACTGCATATCCTTGCTTTGACAGTGACACAAAATGTAGATCAGTCACTTTAAAAACACACTGTTAATATTTTTTTTTATTATACCAGGTAAGGCCCACTGAGGTATTTTTCAGAAGCAACCTGACTATCACAAATGATAGCTCAAAGAAGTGGCCTATCATCACAAGGACATTTATAGCAGCCAAATACTCTGAATGTGGAGGGAAAACCCGTGGCACCCAGAGAAAAATCCACACGACCACGCTTTGAACATGCAAACTCCAAATATACAGGTGTCAGGGTCGGGATCGAAACCAAGACCTCCTGCATACCAGGCGAGGGAGTCAACATCTTGCCACCGTGACACAAAGTTGTGCTCAACGCATTTCTAATGCGCTGTGGACTTTAAATTTCGGGCCACGCTTGACGTGCTTCAACTCGTTGTTCTTGAAATAGCACCTGGGTTTAGATCTAAGCTGACACTGAAGCAGAGGTGGAGTAAACCTGCAGCTCGTGGACTTTCTACCCCCCACATGTACACAACGTCAAGGCAGCCCGCAAACCAATATTTATCCATCAGTGCGAGCATCTTAGCCGCACTAAGTGGGTACTTGAAGTAACATAGTTTTGACCTGGCAGTAAACCAATGTTGCTAATATTAGCGCACTCATTCACTTGTCAGTTTAACACGTAGGCTTTTGCGACCATCGGATCACTCACTTGTGTTACTGCATGGGCCTCTTGTCGTGACAGAAGTCACTGAGGTCTGTATGTGTGTGTGGTAGTGTAGCGGTTAGCGAGCTGCGCTACAAACCTGGCGACCCGGGTTCGATTCCAGCTCACGGCCAACACCAGTGCCGATTATCTGAACCGGTCCTGGGCCTCCCCTAGGTTGACTCAGCCTCAAATTAGTACCTGGTGCGATGTGTAAACATCACCACTAGGGAGACAAAGGCGGCTGAGCGTGGTGTTGGCCACTCACCCCCTCGTGTGCCGTGCCGGCCTTTATAGGTGCTCGCTAACAGCACTTGCCCCTACAGTCTGTTAAGGCTATACGGGGGATCCTTGTCTTTGTGTGGTCATGTGTGGTTTGCCCACTAAATGTATATGAAATACCTATTTGGCCGCCCTCAGTAAGGAATAGGTTTCCCAGACCTATTCCGAAGTCTCGATCTACGCTCCTGTGTCATTAATTAAACAAGGGTTTGCAGATTCTAATGCAGCCTAAACCTTCCCTTTGCACAGGACCTTGGATACAAGGACTTGAAGCGAGACCTCTATGTCGTCGTTCACGTCGTGAGATCGGGTAAGGTTTATAATAACTCTCATTATTACTATGATTTACTGTTCTTTTTCAATCCACTCTTGGATTAACGTATTATGAAATGTATCACTCTGAGTATTGTGAAACAAACTTTGCCCTCGGTGGGAGAGTGGATAGGAAAGTGCTTCCCACTAAATTTCGATTTAAAGCTTTCGTGACTGCAGGGATTCATATTCTTGGTTCTTTCGGTAAAGTCACGTAGAAGGGAAATTAAAAAACCAATAAAATCATCATCACCCTGACGCCGGCACGAACTCTTTTAACGTGCACCGTCAAGCGGATGGCGTGTATTTTACGGTTAATCCACCCACAGTATTAACCGGGGCGGCCTGCCGGATCGGGAGAAGAACTCGCCCACCGCCGGGCCACGCGATCAGCCGATCAGCGTCGCAGCTCCCGTGTCTAACTGCGTCGACGCACATTCAACCCGACATCTCTGCACCCACTCCCCTTCCCCTTTTTTGCACGTGGTGGTGGTGATGATGGTGGCCGTTGCTGGTGGGTGCTGTCAGGCCGAATGCTGCCCAACGACTCGAAGAAGGGCCCGTCGAACGTGCACTACCGCCGGCCCTACGGCTCGGCCGTGCTCAGCCTCGGCGAGTGGCTGCAGTCCGAGTCGGAGTGCCGTGACGAGAAGGAGTTCGTCCTCAAAGTCTACACGTAGGTGCCTCCAAACCGGCATGCCTCCCACCGGTAGCCGGCTCGTGCGATGACGTCTGTCGTGTGCCGCCCACGTGGCACAAGCGGTGGTCAACCGCGCCGCACTCCGAACCCAGTGCGCCTGGGTTTGACTCCCGCTCAGGGGTCAACGCCAGTGATGATTATCTGAACCGGTCCCGGGTTTCCCCTCGGTCAACTCGGCTTTAAATGAGTACCTGGTGCGGTGTGTAGTAGACATCGCCTCGCAGGAGACAAAGGCGACCGGGCGTGGTGCTGGCCACCCACCCCCTCGTGTGCTGTGCTGGCCTTCATAGAGTACTCGCTAACAGCACTTGCCCCAAATGTCTGTTCAGGCTATACGGAAGATCTTTGTCTTGTTGCCATCAACATAATCTTCATCATATTCCTTGGTCAATACACTGCTAGATGAAGGCCCTCATCCAGTCATCATCATCCCTCACTGTTCTGAAATGCAGTAATCCACCCAACACCTGCGTATCTTTGCTCTATCTCCGCTCCATCTCTGCAGGGAACGTTCTCTTGGGGGCGTTATCTCCTTTGGCTGCCACCCCATTGTTACTCTCACTCACAATCCATCTTCCTCGCTAAGCCGCGATGTCTTCTGCCCAAGCCCACTTTCTTTTCCTAATGTTAAATGTGATTTCCGTGATGTGTGTGTCGTCAGTAATCCACACCATCCTCTCGCTGCCCCTAAGTATAAATCAGAACGTGTATCTTCTCCATACGTCTTTGTGCACCTTTGGGCATATTTTCACATTTTCATCACGAATGCCCACGTCTTAGACCCATATTGTTACTGGTAAATGCGCAGCGATTGAAAACTTTCGTTAAAAAAAGAATAATCGGTAACGTTGCTTTTCATCATCGAGTTCAGCTTTCCAAAAATCTCTCCAACACCACTCTCATCCAAACACACGCATCTCCCTTTCGATGGTAGTTGTTCAAGTTCAAGTCGATTTTTTTTTAACCAGGCAGTGAGAACTCAAGGGACCAGGATGAGCCTCATATGCAAGAGTGATCTGGGTCACGAAAATTACAAAAGAAAAGCATGTCAAGTTACAACAGTGAAGCAAACACATCAACAAAGTGTTGTTTCATGACTCCGAAGTAAATTCGGTTTGCATGGTGTGTTGTTCAGCATCCTGTCTGAAGTTTTGCCGCACGGGCTGGGAGCTCATCCCGGAACTGAACAGACTGCATAGCCAGCTCCTGAGGAAGCTCCCGGCATGTGGAGCGAAACGTCGGACATCATCCTGAACAACGCGCGGCTTAACCTGCAAGCGCATCAGCTGGAGAGTCAGCGCAACAGCGAACGCCTACGCAGTGGCTAATTTTGCCTTAACGTTTGGTTTACGTTTAAGCAACGAGGTGGTCTGCGATCATTGCCATCGGTGCCATCATCACCGCTGCTGTTGTCGTTACCACGGTCGCCAATAAGACGTTCATTGCTTTTGGACGCCTGCGCCCCAATTAACTTGGTGCTTTTAGGCTCACTCTGAGCTGTTTTTTTTTTCTTTTTCCCGACGAAATTAGAGCAGTCAAATAAATTCCGTGAGATCTCTACGAAAAGGAGCTCGCCATCTGGGCTGAGCATGAAGTTCTGCCACAGGGCATCCGGTAAGCGTCCAGCTGGGAACGAGCGGCCAGAATTTATCGTGATGAACTCTTGGTGTCGGGGTTCCTCCACCTGAGATTTGCTTTTTGCATTCACGTAGCCAGCGCTGACGTTTTTTCACGTCGGGGCCAAGTCGCTTCTGAAAAATAGCCATATCGCTCAGTGGGCCTCACCTGGTAAAATAAAATAAATTTTAGTTTATAGCTTGGAATGTGAAACGTCACCGGGCTGTCTCCATGCGGTCACGCACTGCCACACGTGACAGCTGCACGGGCCCAAGGGCCCAAAGTGCCAAGCGGCCATCAACAAGCAGCACAGTTAAGTTCTAATAGATACGTATCATCAGGACGTTTCGTGGATCGAGCGAGGTTATAATACGCACTTGGGAAAGAGAGATGATAGGAGGAAATTCCCAAAGGCGGACAGTGCGAGTGAAAAGGGCAGAGGGAAATGTTGTGACCCCCAGTGCGGTGGCGGTTGAACCCAGTGCGGTGGCGGTTGAACGCAGTGCGGTGGCGGTTGAACGCAGTGCGGTGGCGGTTGAATGCAGTGCGGTGGCAGTTGAACCCAGTGCGGTGGCGGTTGAATGCAGTGCGGTGGCGGTTGAACCCAGTGCGGTGGCGGTTGAAGGCAGTGCGGTGGCGGTTGAAGGCAGTGCGGTGGCGGTTGAACCCAGTGCGGTGGCGGTTGAACGCAGTGCGGTGGCGGTTGAATGCAGTGCGGTGGCAGTTGAACGCAGTGCGGTGGCGGTTGAACGCAGTGCAGTGGCGGTTGAACGCAGTGCGGTGGCGGTTGAACGCAGTGCAGTGGCGGTTGAACTCAGTGCGGTGGCGGTTGAAGGCAGTGCGGTGGCAGTTGAACGCAGTGCAGTGGAGGTTGAACGCAGTGCAGTGGCGGTTGAACGCAGTGCGGTGGCGGTTGAACGCAGTGCAGTGGCGGTTGAACGCAGTGCGGTGGCGGTTGAACGCAGTGCAGTGGCGGTTGAACCCAGTGCGGTGGCGGTTGAAGGCAGTGCGGTGGCGGTTGAACGCAGTGCAGTGGCGGTTGAAGGCAGTGCGGTGGCAGTTGAACGCAGTGCGGTGGTTGAGAGGTAGCGGTCGGTGTCTGGTGGACCCGAGTCTTCAACGTGGGTGCTACGAATCGGTTGTCGCTTCATCACAATTTTAAATTGTGTCTTGAGCAAGTTCTTATCTTTTCAATCTCCCCGTGAATCTAGTGCCTATGTTGGCTGCGCGGCTCATTTGAAAAAAACTCAATTTAACATCCGCTAATCGGAAACAATCGATCCTCACACCTACTACTCGGCGCAAGCATCGCGAGCGTAACAATCACTCTTAACTTAAGGAATCGTTGCATCGTTGCTTGCCGAGCCAGCCACCCACCTGCTGGGCATGGAAGAGCCTCGAGGAGGAGGTACAGCAAGTTGGTCGCTGTAATGTAGGTGCAGCAGCGGTATTTTACCGTGGTTTCATTTCCCATGTGGTTTTTGACTCGTCCTTGAACGAGTCCCTGGTTCACGGTAAACATCAGCGCTGGGGTCTCGTGGTGCTTGGCCTCCCTCGTGCGTCGTTATGGCATTAACAGGTGCCTGCTGAAGAAAGTACTTTCCCCAACAGTCCAAAGAGACTGTACGTGGGCAGGTGTCTTATGCACCCTAACAGCACTTTCCACGGCAGTCAATTACGAGAGTAAACAGAGGGTTGTTTTTTAATTTGTGCGGTGGGTGCTTTATTTCGTGTTACCTTTCCTTTCTTTCCTAGGTGCAACAATGAAAACGAGTGGCATCAGATCCAGGACAATATCATAAAGAAATCCAGCACAAAGTACAACCCAGCCTCTTCCAATTACGGTGAGCGCTGTTTGTGACGCAAAGCAGCATTATCACATTACTTTCAGGAACTGATCCAATTATATACACCACCAATGAGGTCCTTGAGATCTTCTGATCTCCTTATTAGTATTCCGAGGTCAAGGCTCCATTCCCAGGGTGATTGGGCTTTTGCCAGTGCGTTGCCTCTGATAATTATTAGACAATCAGAATCTTTAGTGCTATTTAAATCTGCCCCTGAAAACTCACCTTTTTAAAATGGCTTTTTCCCCATAGTTTTGGTCGTTTACGCTGCAGGCTGTCTTATTTCCCTGCTTTCCATGCACGGTGGCGAATTTGGATCCTTGCGTGAAAATGCGCCTTACAAGTGTAAATTATTATTATTGTTGTTTTTAATGTCATCGCTTCATTGGCCACTCGTGTCTCTCGCGTGCCGTGGATGTTTTCTTGGTTCCGTTGTCGGATAATCCAAGCCTCGCCGTGCTGCAATTCTGATTGCGAGTGCAGATGCACTCACTCATCGGGCCTGTCTTCCGCAGGGCATTTGAGGATTTGCGGCTCATTTTTTGAGAAGGCAAAATGAAATGAAACAAGAACGATACGAACAAAAATTATCATTATAGCGCACCACTGAAATCCACGTGAAAATAAGCAAACAAACAACCACAACAGCCAATTCGTTCAGGCTGCCTCTTTTTTATTATCAAAAAGAGTAGGGAAAAATCCGTTGCACAGTCGTTCCTGGAAACACATTCAAGAGTGGCTTTGCCTGTGGCAATAGATCGCAGTGCTACAATGTCATCAAAAAACCATAAACTTCCAGTTTCTAGTTTTTGTTTCTTGAGTGTCAAATCATATTAAATCCAAATAATAATTCCTCTTTGTTGTGTCTGGCATGACACATGGTCGGCATGACACATGGTCGGTTTATGACGCACACAAGGGTAAGTCACTTAAGGGACTTATCCTGCGGTGAAGTGACTCAAGAGTAATCGGTTGGAACTGTGTCGCTGCGTTGTGAGGAAGCGTCTGCTTTTTACCGGTACCTTCTGTGATGTTTCACAACGGCGCAGAAAAAAAAACGCTCGGGACGCGGTGGTTGAATAATTGATAGGGTGGCGAGGAAACGAGAGGTCGGGAAGCCATCTGGTGGGACGGCGGAGTGAGTGGTGGAAATCAGCAAAGCCTTGCTCCTACGCAGCCAAGCATGGCTCCTACGCAGCCAAGCATATCAGCCAATTGGCATGGGGGCATTCGCTCAAGGGCTTGGAGTGTTGGTTTTGATACAAAACCACAAAGGTCTTGACGTGTGAGAATTAGATTTTTAATTTTAACCGTTATTGTTTTCTTAGCAACGCTGCCACGTGAATGTGGTGGCACTTTTGGCGTTTTCTAGCCTGACACACTGGTGAGACTAGGCCCTGAAGAAGGCTGTCTCTGGTGTAGCCCAATAAGTTTCAAAGACAATGCCCATATATTATCAAAGCATGTTTTTGTTTGCATGCTCACCACAAGTACGTGTTGTTAATGCAGGCGTGATTCCTTGCAAAAGTTTTATAATTGGTGTTTGAACATCTTAACGCCTGTTTTATTGGCACAAAGGGTAAAACTTATTCTTATTTTTTCACGCATTGGTCAACTTTGTAATTATCCAGGCAAGTGCATCATACTCTGTTGAAACACTGAAGAAAATTACAGACGATTGTGTTGTTTTGCACGATTTTTCGTGACGCTGCTGTCTGTTTAACGATGTGGGAAACGACTTGCTGACTCAAACGCTCGGCGGCTGTCAATTGAAGGATCCCGTGCGGATGAGATGGTTTCACATCTGTCTGCACTTTAGTCCAAGGCTCGTCGTAATTTTAATTTGCTGCTGCTGCTGCTGCCTGGGACATCCTTAAACACCTGCTCCATATGGTGCTCCGATATGTGAACTGAAAAGTGCTTTATAGATAACAGGCCTTGCCATCAGTATCGTGCCTGTTTCCAGTAAAGCAGGGCAGTGCAGGGATGTCAAAAAAAAACATCATCAGGCCATTCTGGAAGAAATCTGTGCAATGTCAGTTCTTTTTCCCCTCCGCTTTTTTTTAAGGACCGATTAAATCACCGAGATACGAGCTGAGTAATGGCATCGCAGTGCCCTCCCCACGTGCCCTCATTTCAGCTCGGTAATTGGCCATCGTCCCCCCCCCCCCCTCCGCAGCCTCCCCTTGGCCTCCTTCTCCGTGGTGTCAGGCAGAAAATTAGTCCCGCGGAGGTCATTTTTCACGGCCGACGATGGAACAAAACAAAGCCTCAGCGGGTTTAGGCCCGCGGAATGTTTGTGGCGGAGCCCTCAAACTGGCTGCGTTGATGGTGGGGGTGGGGGGGGGAAATATGATAACGAGATTCTAGTGTGGTCACGGGTGCTGTTCGGCAGAACGGGAAAAAAAACACTCCTAGCGACCGCCTTTGTCCATGACATCCATTTTTCGACGTTTGTCCTCAAGTGGTCATCTCGGGCTTTGTTTTTTTCCCTGTCACCTCCGTGACCGATCAGCAGGAGGCTTAGTCGATTAGGATGATTTGCTGTTAATCTCCAAAGACTTTGGCTTTGACCTTACCTCAGGTGAGTTGTTGGGTTTTTTTTTGTGTCTAGAGGGCGTCAGTCCTGTGTCTGCTTATCGCAGCTGGCTGCCACCTTGTCATGCATGGTGTTCAAGAGATAAATCCAGCCGTCGTTCAAGTTACGATTTAACAATAAAAAAGTATATATGTGGTGTTTGTGGCTGAAGGGTAAAATGTGACTGCAGCTCCCCCTCTCCTTTGGAACACTGCCTTTGAAATGCTCTTGTGAAAGTGTTTATTTGGGGCATGTTTCCGTCGCGGGCGTTATTCGATTTTCTTATCTGGAATTTATATAGTTCAAGACTTGTCCACTAAAATGTTAATGCTGTGAATGGAAGAAAAAAGAAGAGCGGAAACGTATTTGCTCTATTCACGTAAAAAATATATACGGTATCATTTGTCACCTTTTAAAGCACTTCTGACAAAGGATTTTTTTTTCATTGAACACTTTGTAATTTTAATAACTTCATTCCAATTTCTTTTAAAATTGTCCCCCGTTTTGTTTTATTACATTGTAATCCTGGAGAATTTTTGTTTTTACAGGATTTTGTGCAATATCTGCCTCCCAACTATAACACCCTGTGTACAACACCAGCGTTGTAGCAGCCATTGTGGGCATGATTTGGCGCGGCAATTTTTGTTACGTTCTTTGTAGAATTGACAATCTCAATATTTGCCAACGCAAGCGATAAAAGCAGTGGCGCGAAGATGCAGTTGCTAAGGTTTGTTAGTATAATAATCATCATAAACATCAAATCATGTTCCATCTGGGTCGAGGCACCAAGGTCTGGCTTGAAATATCATCATTAGTCTATAGTTAATCCACCGCTGGATGAAGGCCTCCCCAAGCCTCCACCACCGCTCAACATCCTGCGATAGAACGATCGACGAAGCACCACCGGCACACAGCTGATTTCATCGCTCCATCTCCTCGGTGGACATCCTCAAGGCACATTCCACTCCTTGGCTGCCACTCCATCCTTACTCTTGACCATAAGCCACCATCCCTTCTCGTCGCACGTCCTTCCCAAGCCCACTTCTGAGCAGTTTTAATGATGTCCTCAACCAATCCACGTGCTCCTCTTTCTGTCTCTCAATGTAATTCCGAGCATGCATCTCTCCGTGATTTTGTGCAATTTTCCGTTTTTTTAATTCATCCGTTTGTTTTTGTTAGTAATCGTATGTCTGAACGAGGTCATCGTAGGAAGTAAGAACTGATTATGAACCCAGTTTACTTTCATTATCAAGTCCAGCTTTTCAAACGCATTCCAACATGCTCTCAACCACTGATTCATTTTATAATTTTGAGTCCAGTCCAAGCTACGCATATCCTGCTGCGTGTTCTCTTGACGTGGGGAGCGGTGGTGCAGCGGTTAGCGCGCTGCGATATGAACCCAGCGACCCTGGTTCGAGTCCCGCTCACGGCCAACGGCAGTGGCGATTATCTGAACCGCCTTTGGGCCTCCCATAGGTCGACTCAGCCTCAAATGAGTACCTGCTGCAGTGTGTAGTAAACATCGCCGCTGGGGAGACAAAGGTGGTCGGGCGTGGTGCTGGCCACCCACCCTCTCGTGTACCGTGCCGGCCTTCGTAGGTGCTCGCTAACATCACTTGCCCCAACAGTCTGTTAACGCTATACGGGGTATCTTTGTCTCTTCATGTGGCACACACGTGGTGTCTTTATCCAGGAGGTAAAACAGACATTTTCATTGCATTTTCATGATAACAGAATACAACTTTTTTTCATTAGGACAAATAGCTTTTTGAGATTTTACATGACCTATTATAATGTCCATCTTATGTATGGCTAGGCCTCTACGTGCAATGAATTGCTTTCAAAGCACACTTTGACATATTCTAATACCGTAAAATACATAGTTTTAATTGCTCCCGCGTGCATTATCTGTATGAAGATAAGAATTCTTGAAAATCGCATTAAACGTAATCAAAGGGAAGAGGAAGAAACTGGAACCAGTGTGACTGGGGATGACCCTTAATATTCAGTCACAGCACCGTCGTGTGACCCACACTAATTATTACTTTTCCTGCTGCCATCGTAACTTGCAATGTAAATCTCATTTCACAGAGCCCTCTTTATTCGACGAAGACAAAGATTTCCCCCACATAGCCTTATTACAGACTCTTCTAGATATGAAGCTTTCGTGACTGCAAGGATTCACTCTCTTTGTTTTTTTCGGTAAAGTTACGTAGGTAAAATAACATTAATTAAAAGAAAAGAAAACAATTAAATCACGACGTTTCGGAGACAACACAAGCTTCCGTCTTCAGGTGGAACAGTCACAGCAAGATCGCTGCATATTACAGACTGTTGAGGCAAGCGCTGTTTGCGAGTAGCACCTATGAAGGCCAGCACGGCGCACGAGAGAGGGTGGCTGGCCAACGCCACGCCCAGC